AGATATGAGGTGTAAGTGTTGTCCGTGATTTGTATCTGCTGGTTGTAGATGTCGCTGCTGGGGTACTACTGATTTTCTTCCATTTTTTATGCGTAGAAGAAAAATCGGACTCCGGTCGCCGGGTCCTGAACGTTCGTAACCTAAGGCGCTAACCACTGCGCTGCCGTCGTCCAACGCTAGTTACTGTCGAGTGGTGGTATTTGCTGTCGAGTGTCGCGACAGATGTTAATTGATGTAGGTTTGGGGTTGATAATTAATCGATTCACACAGATTCGAGTTTTCTCTCTATATTTCTCTGCCTCGTACAACACGTCTTGACACACAGGATACACTCGGTCAATTAACACGTGGTCGACTTCTAAGACAAAAGAGCGTCGTTAGAAGTCGTACCAACTTAGCTTGTAGTAACTAGCGATCATGCCAACCTAACATTTCTCAACAGAGTGTTTATACAGTTGGCCTGATACATTGTTAGATCAATCTACTGACATGGTGAATTTGCCAAACTAAATTTATAACATATCAGGTATATAAAAGTGCAAATATAAAAATATATACAAATTATATACCATTATTTTAAAGAAAAACAAGAGAACTTTTATCGAGACGGAATAATGGCCCTACCAGTAAAATGGGAAGAAGTTGTACAACGAGAGGGGGATTTGTTAGGTAGATGATACATTTACACTGTACATGTGAATGTGTGTGTAAGCGTTAGAGAGCGCCTAGGCCTTAGTGGAGACAAAAGACTGTTGCCAGATGTTAGAAGAATCTGGAAGAGTCGGTTGAGAACAAGCGTGCGTGCAAGAAGGTTGTCGAGGTCTTCAAAGTATAAGATATATGTATAGCTGTTGTGTGTGGAATAAAGTAAACTATTTGTATTTCCGAATCCTTTCTTTACCTTAACAGGATTACATTTTTTCATGAAACTGAAAGGTATGTAAACAATCTTAATCTAATATAATAGTATCCTAGTATTAAATCAAAAATATGTAGCGGCACATGAGTCATAGGACGATCCGAATCGAGACTGGCTCATGTTGTTTTGCCTCGAGTTCTATCATTGTGTAATACGATTTTCTATAACTGTTACACTATTTTTCTTGGAGCGAATAGAAATGTCCTGCTTAAATTCGTCCATTTTATACAAAATGGAATGTAATTATGGCAATGTTAAACCAATAACTCATTAATAATCTATTCGGCAAATAGTCATATCACTTGTTGACAATTTCCGTGAATACAAAACATCACAGTATGGAAGTGTATTAATCACAAATGACGACAACAAACGACAAACTGCAAACATAACTCTGTATGTTTTCGTCGGATGTTATCTAAAAGAAGAGAAAAAACTGCAATACTTCTATCATACGTGTAACAGAAAACCATCTCCCTGGGAGAGTGTTTTAAAATACGTCACATATGGATAATTAATCAGTATAATTAAACAATTACAGCTTAATTCTTTCTCTATTATAGTATCGTGAAAAAAGGCCTAATTAGAGATCGATCGAATCATAAAAACAGTGTCGTCTGCCCTTCAATTGTTAGTATTAAAGAAAGCCTATGTGACTAGGGTCGCCTAGTTCATGCGGAGCATGGGCGTGGTGAGATTAAAAAAAAAAGAAAAGAACGCTAGAGGAGAAGGACGATTTTGGGTTCAAAGAGCGTTGACCGAGAGGCCAGAGTGTGCGAATCGAGAAGAGAGTGTGAATCGAGAAGAGAGTGTGAATAGAGAAGAGAGTGTGAATCGAGAAGAGTGTGAATCGAGAAGAGAGTGTGAATCGAGAGTCAGAATTAGTCGAGAAGTCGAGGAGTAGAGTTGTTAGCGTTGTTGAGTTGCGAGAGTTGTTTGAGATAAAGTACGATTTTTGTATTTAGTTCCAGTTAAACAACCATCGTTTTCTGTCTAATTAATATCTGTACAGTCAATTTATTGTAAATGAATTGTAAATAGTCCGGAAAAATTTATACCTAAGTTTCCCCGATACTACACTATTACGCATCAAATGCATGTAACGCATTTTAAAAGCCACTTGCATTAGTTATTTATTATTCTTTATTGTTATATATATGAAAATATATATCATAATGTGTTAATATGTTCTCATATCAAGTATTATTGTTAGTGCAACGCTTTTTACATACAGTGGCTTATGAAAGTATTCGAACGTGTATATATGCAAACTTGAATGGCCGAAATAATGTACATTAAAGTAATTTGCTTAGACCAGCAGATGTCAATAGGAAGATGGGAGTCTTAAGATTGTGTCAGTAAAATTTGAAAAGAATTCAACAACGTAGGTAGGAGTTATGATACATTTATCAGAAACACCCATTGTAAGTGACTCACAAAAGTATTTGAACGCTATATACACTATTAAATTATTTAATATTAATATTATTGTTGGATCATCTTTAGCAGCAATAATGGGTCTCAATCGATGTTCCATACTGTAAACCAATGATTTTGTAAAATTACACCAAACGGAATTCTATATTTCTATATTTACATTCTATATGTATTTATATATTCTATATATCTATATTTATATATTATATATATTCTATATTCTATATTTCTATATATTTGCGGTGGAGTAATTAAGATGTGTGGTGTGTTATATACGATCCATTCTTTCACAATTCTAACAGTATGCTTAGGCATTATCTTGTTGGAAGTGGAAATCTTCCAATAATCCTAATTTACGGGCACTTTCTTTAAGGTTATTTTTTAAAATATTTAAATACTTATATTTATCAAGTATTCCGTCAATAAATATCAAATTGCCGGTGCCACTGGCAGCCACGCACCACCACACCATGATCGATCCACCACCGTGTTTCACTATTTGATGTAAATGTCGAATTTCCAATTCCGTATTTCGTTTTCTACGCACATAATTTTGACCATCTAAGCCAAAAATGTTAAACTTTGACTCATCTGAAAAGATGACTCTGTCTCAAAAAGAATTATCTTTATTAACATAGGTTCTTGCAAAAGTCAATCTTTTCTTGTGATTTACCGCATTAATATATGACTTCTTTCGCAGCACTCTGCCATGAATATCATTGTTTCGTAAGATTCATCGACAATTCCGGGTGAAGTTCTTTATGAAACATATCAGCTACCATACTTGCGAGTTGAGGAGCGGATGTAGTAAGATTTTTTTTTAATCCGCGAGTAACTTTCTCCTCTCTTCTAGTCAATTTCGTTGGTCCACCTGATCGATCTTTGTTTGTAAGTATTCCCTCGTTCTTTGACTCTTTTATGATATAGCGTATTATGGACTTACTTCTGTTCACAATTCCGGCAATCTCGTTATATGATTTGTCGTCCTCGTGTAATCGGAATATTATTTCTTTTTCATACTTTTGTTCCAGACCTTTTGGTATTCATTTTAAATACTGTTGTGCACACTTTTACGTTATTGTTACTGAAACGATATCCTAACATCAAGTGAACGTACCAATATTTTCATTTAGCAATGATGTTTACATTCGGTGCAAAGGAAGATGAAAAACTCTCAACAGTGCTACAGCGTTCGAATACTTTTGTGATACACTTATCATGAATGTTTCTAATAAATGTATTATAACTCCTGTCTATATTACTGAATCGTTTTCAAATTTTACTGATGTAATCTCGAGACTTTTCCGTCGCTATAGATACCAAATTGTTTTAACAAATTAGCTTAGCACACCTCATTTTATTAACTTAAATTTGTAAATTTAAGAGTTCGAATACTTTCGTGAGCCACTGTAAGTGCCAAGGAAAACGGTGACCTAGCGACAAGTTGTGTGCGAAGCGCTAACGTCAGGATCTATTATTATTATACATTAACTACGTTATACAATATATATTACATTCTCTGATGTTATAATGTGTAATATTATGCACAAGTCATCGAAATGTACCTACAGTTAAAGGGTAACATGAAATTTCAAATTTCATCAAGTTTAACGAAAATTATATATGAATAATCTTTCGACACGTATCTCTTTTATAAAAATTAAAATCAGTGTGAAAGGGATGCAAAGATCTTAATGACGGGACACAAAAACTTTGTCTTGTAATATCCAGAAAACTGTTAGTTTTAATAATCTGTTCTAAATGTAGCAATTTTGAAAGAAAAAGTTAAACCACATAAATAACGTTTTAAAAGTGTTCATATAAAAAAGAAGCGGCCCTTTAGGCAGCAAAGTACCGGCTCTATAACTCGAGAGCGGTTCTCTATCTAGGAAATCGGTGTATTTTCCATCCCTAGCCGATTATACTATCTTCAAGTAAGGAAACTTGCTGCGAACGTGATAACATATCTAATAATCATAATAATAATATCTAATAAGAAAGGAGATAAGTTAATGTCATTAAATAAGTAAATATACTCCAAGGAAGGTGGTATTATATCGTGCTTGGTCTGTCTTTTAATCAGAAAACCTCTCATCAACAGTGGTGAGAGGTTAATACGACAAAAATGAATAATAAAAAAGTTTCACCGTTGCATTTCTATTGTCTCACTCACTGATATGTTTCAATCAAAACTTTGGATTTCTTCCTCTTTCACTTGCACTACATTTTTCTACATTCGACCAAGTGGCGTATTATAATGGCATGTAATTAGACTGAACCACGGTCGTATATTTAGATTTGACAACACTCGTGAAAGGCTATTTACCGCATAATATAGTGTCATAAGCTGTGCTTTATTGAAAACAATCTACATTTCGTTGTACGCTACGGTCATATATCACGTATATCCGACCGTCTTATATACGCAGTTAACACAACGATTAGAACGCCTTACTGTACAGCGGACAAATTGAAAAACTTGTGCCATTGAGTAAGACGTAATCTGTATCGTATTTCAGTATAGACCACACGCGATGAATAATACTGTCAATAATGACCAATGTAATGTATGTATCGTTTTAGAATTAATTTATTTGGTTACATTTTAGCCATGAAAAGTGGTAATGCTTCACATACACGCAGTTATTCGCGAATAATTTGAGAATACACTGTAAACGTATATCACGATTCGCTTTAAATAAAGCAGCTTGTACAAGCTTTATTATTTGGGATATCTTTCTTTTGTGCACTTATTTTGTGAAATATTAGGGAAATTAAATAACGATTCATTAAGTTCAAGTTCTTCTATTTACATATCTCTACAAAGAAAATCAAATGTATCAGTCTATTAATATGATAATTCTGTTAAAATTTTCCGTGCCCAAATAAAACCTATAAAACTTTGAAACGATTTTTCAACAAATCAGTACATTGCGTACAAAACAGACACGTACGAAGCAGATGCTTTTAACATCTAAAAATTTTAATTTACTATAATTACATAAAAGCAAAATGTCCGTTTACATAGAAACTACTTACAAAAATTAAAAAAATAATAATAATAAAATCGGAACATAGGTACATTCTTACTTTATATATATTCATTTCATATTATAAACTCAAGTGTCTTACATTCGCAAAAGCCTCGAGAGACAGGCAAAGAAACTTTCCCGCTGTTAATGTTAATTTTCCCTGTGATCGCAATATCATTAATAATATAACACGAGCATTTTGAGGTTTTAATTCGTACCAAAGAAAATTATATACAGATTTAGTAATATCTTCGCTCTGAAAAGAAGGTATATAAGTATTAGTAAACTATTATGTTGTATATAGTAGTTTATTTTGCTTTATTTCTTATATTTCCATTTCTTACCTTAGAAGTAAGATATTCGCCAGTATAACATAATATAAATGCTTCACAATTAACAGCAATGTAATACGGAAAGCATTTCATTATTATCACAGTCGCTTGATCCAGATGTGAAGACTATTATCAATGAAAGTCATTTGTTTTATATACACTCAGTTCAATTCTCTATCAATGTTATTGTTAATCATAAGTCAAATTCACTTACGACCACCAAAATGAAACTTATGAAACAGATTACTAACATATTCGATACAAATTGACATAACGATATGTAAGTGAAGATTTTCTCAATATTCTTTGAGAATTGTATGATTCGTTGATGTCTTCCAACGATGTCATCTATTATATATTTCTGCAATTTTTCTTTTTCACAATTATGAGAAATTTCCGTCAATTTGTAACAAAGTAAGTCAATCTGACTACCAACGTGTAATATCTGAAACGTAAAAAAGTCTTCAGCTGGTTATTGAAAAATACCGCATAAATATTAATAATATGACACCTGAAATATTTGAAGCATCTAATATTTTTAGTATAATAATGTACACAGCTAAAATTCAGACGGAAATGTCACGCAAACATGATCAGCAGATAAAATATGAAAAAAATGGTGCTGACTTTAATGAACGTCATCAACATATAAATGCTTGTATGTAATAACTATTGACATTCAATACACAAGTTGACCCACGCAACTTGTAAAGAGCACTTTGTATGAAAAAATGTATTTTAGAATAATTGTACAGTTTGGAAAGTCATATTATGTGGTGCATCTACCTTTTTATACGTGGAGATGTTTCGGAAATTTTAAGGTCAACTTCATTATTTCAAATGTTATGTTATATTTTTAATGCCAATGTATCGGAGGACGTTGAATTGTGATGTCACGTTTCGCGCTCCACCCGAATCGTAACGTGAGGCAGTAAAGGAACACGTCATAACTCACGAATAGCGCGGACCACAACTTCAGGCAAATGGAATTCAAAACAGGAAACTCAAGAGAAATAAATGATACGACTCGTACAAATACTTATTGAAATCTGACTTAAGAATATCGAAATCAAAACATGGAACGATGAGACATCCGCTGACACGCGTCGGCTTACGCGCGCCCTCCCCGCCACAATACGCCACATCAGCAGAAACAACTACCTGTCACGCGCCAAAGAATCAAACATCGGCATCAGCAAAAGGTAACATCAGGTCAAGGAAAGTACGACTCATTATTAGCGGAAATAAAAATTCTAAGAGGAATGCAATAGCAAAGTCTTCAGAAGGAAAAGGTTCAAAACAGTTCTGTGAAAACAACATCAGCGAAGAAAGGAAATCCTAACACTTCTTGGAAGGATATCAGCAAAAATGAAGATTGCAGCGTCTGCGGAAGTAATTACATGTCGAAACTCCGCATATTCATGGAATAACCCGTCACGTGACAATTATTCCATGATATCTTTTTGTATAAATAAGCGTAGCCACTTAGCGTTTCGCAGTTGTCAAGGAGTTCAAGTTATGAGTTCAAGTTATCAAGCACGGAGTTCGAGTTGTCGAGCAGTTAGCAGTTGAGTTCTTTTGAGTTGAGAGTTTTCAATTATCAGTCAGTCAGTTTAGTTCTTTGTATTCTTTGTGTTCTTTGTGTTCTTTGTATCAAGAAGTAAAACCTTGTTAATTGTTAATGAATTGTAGTCTCCAACCAATAATATTAATTCATTATAATATTCCAAGAGTGTGTTCGACTATTCACATAAACAAGGTGAGAATCTAAACACTGTAATATTCTTATTCAATTTCGGATCTGCACCATATGTACTACTCGAATAAGATATCAATTCAACAATCAAGAAGACATTGAAAAAGACTTTAATCCTTCCTGTGCTAATACTTCTGCACACAGCGAGTAAACCGAAACGTGGAGTCTACTTACCAGTTGCATCGATACGCTAGTCAACGCTACTCATACGGTTATGAATTAGAATATCAAGGACACAACAGTTTGGAAATTGAAGATAGTGTCGTGCTTTAGAAAGGTGTGACAAGTTTTGAATCCATTCAGTTGTCGCGAAAGTAATTAGAGCACAACCATCTGGAATATTTGGAAAAGCGCCGCGCTTCAGAAAGGCTCGGTTATGGGGTTGATTAGAATAGTATCCGACCACCATTAGACGCCCGGCAATAACAGCGAGAAATAATTTTCGATGAATTTGCCAATATATAGAATGTTCTACTTAATTTTAATCTTCAACTGATCAAGATAATGTAAGATAATGTATATAAACTGTATACATTACCATGTGGAACCTAGTGATAACTGCATAGTGTCTTAGTTGTTGAGTTATACGCAACAATATGTTTGGTAGTACATGTAAATAATACTAAGTAGCAATGTGGTCGAATTTACTTAGATAGGTACACGCTACGCTTAAAAAATCGAATAAAATAAACATTAAATCATGTTGGCATTATTAGCCGATTGATTTTCTTTAATTTATATTAAAAACGATTAGCATCAATGAGTTAATCTTGTATTGGGCTATGTACAAATGCGGTCAAATATGCCAAAGAGACGTATAACGCAAAGTAAGTTCAATTAAATTTTTCATGAATATCGTGGATACTAAGGCCGAGCGGCGATGACATATATAGCGAGAAGTTATTCAGAATGTTGATCTTGACAAGATAATTCAAGGTCATCAAAATCGCTGAGGTGTTCTCTGAACTAAGTGATCATTCATTAATAAAGTATTAATTGTTTGCCGAGTATGCCACACTACAATTACTTTTACTATTAACGCTCCATTGACATTGGTGGTCTAACTTCTTTAAGTCAGTGAGGATTTTGTAGTATCCAATTGTGCATGTTTCTCAACTTAATATCCTCGTAATTACTAAATATTGCTTCCTCGATAAGTAACATTTATGTAAAAAAAAAATCATTATTGTGTCATTGATCCAGAAAACACTAGGCGGATTCGTTCCGTGCAGCTCCTAATGAGGAACTAGGTGATATATTTCATTGTGCAGGACTCGAAGTACGCGTCTTTTACTGATGCTAGACTCTCATGAAATCTGATATTTTCTGTTACCGTTGCTAGAACCGCGATGGTATTTTCATCAAATGTGACAGTCTTGGATACGTTACGTTGGTAACATTAAAATTTTTAGTATCTCGAAGCGATTGAGAAAGTTCCTGGAATGTCCATCGAGATGGCTGATTTCGTTGAGGATACGTTTCGACATAGATGGCTCCAGCTGCTGTTGCATTTTCGCCGCACGGACCATAAACTGACAGCATATCTTTTTTCGCTATTAATAAATTTCATTGTTGCTTTTATCTTACTGATATTTGTATGTCGAGTCAAGGTCCGAATCTAGGCCCGAGTCGTCCTCGTGGCGGGAGCTTGGGACAGGTAAGGATTCCTCACAGCTATCCATGTTTTCTTTTTACACTGGAGTTATTTTTATTGACACACACGAAATTGTTAGAGAGTTGACACAAACTCACAATGATCACACACTCGCGACGCTAGTGACAATGGTCTTAGGTTCGATAACGAGTCCGCGGACAACGGGACAGTAGTCGTACGCACTCGCAAAAATCTAAGTCGAATTTTGTGTTGATATTCACTGACCGTAAGGCGCTAATCTTTTTTTGTCGACGAGATCGCAAGAGAGAATGACTTTCCGTCCCGGTGATACCCCAGAGGAAAACTATGACGGGT